GAACTTATTGTTGGATCACAGCATTGACTTCCAAAGCTTTAAGAAACCTGAGGAGATAGCTGATCCTCGGACCAGGAGTTCTCGAGAAGAATTCCTTTTGAGGCTGCATGCCCAAGACGAGGAGATTGTAGATCTCAAGGACAAACTCAACCAATGTGTAAACCTCCTCAGCCAGCACAGGTTTAGAGGCATCATTCATCTCTCTCCTGATAATCCAAGTAGGGAAGTTCTTGTAATAGTGTAGGAAAATGTGTATGCTTTCTACAACCTCGCACAGTGTGTGGAGGTAGCAAATGTATTATTGCTTTGTGAAACTCAAGTTTTTTTTATTTATATAGCACTTTTTGGCGGATGTAAAGTACATGGTTCTCTCGAGGGAACTGGGTACGAGTTCCTCGATTTAATACCGCGACCTGCAGCGGGTACGAAGGAGATTTTTCGGTTTTCATCCGGATGTTGAATACACGGTTCTAAACGAGAATGGCCCTAAAGAGGGAATCCATCTCGAATACTAGTCATAATATAATGTCAACAATGTGAGAAAATATGCAATGAATTTTATTGAATAATTATCCAAGGACCCGGGTTAGCATTACATATAAAAAAGGGAAAAATAGTAAAGCAAATAAAGAAAACAACTTAAACTATCAAGTAACAAATAAAGGCTTAAACATAGAATCTGCGGAGGTTCCGAATGTTTCACCATCACGGGAGGATGGTTCCGCTATCATCTGTGGTTTGTAGGCAGTAGCTGCCTGCTGGGCTGGATTGAAAGACTTTTTAAGGTCTTTCCCAATTTGCTACAAGTTTCCCAGGAGTCTCAGCTTTACTGGCTTCATTTTTCCTAAGTACAAGATCCCCCACCGCGAGATCTGTTGCCTCAACTCGCTTATTGTAGTTTTTCCTGCGGATCTCCTTGTAATTTGCCTCCCGAATCCTGAAAGTATCTCGTCGTTGCTCGAGCAGGTCGAGGTTTAGCCTGAAATCATCATCATTAGTGCTCTCAACAAAGTTGATTGTTCAAGGACTTGACACGCCTATTTCGACTAGGAGAACTGCATCCATGCTATAGACCAAACTATATGGAGTTTCGTCTATTGAGGAGTGAGAAATAGTGCGGTATGACCATAGGACGTGAGAAAGTTCCTCGGCCCAAACTCCTTTATCATCGTGTAATCTGGTCTTGACTCCAGGCGGGATAGTTCTGTTAATGGATTCCCGTTGGCCATTAGCTTGAGCGTGAGCTACGCTCGAGAACCGGTGCTCAATTTGCATTTCTTTGCACCACGATTTGAAGGGGCAGCTTTTGAATTGAATTCCGTTATTGGAGACAATGACCCTAGGAACTCCAAAACGGCAGACAATGTTTTGCCAGAAAAAATCCAACAGCTTCCTTCCTGATATTGAGGCCAACGGTTTAGTTTCTATCCATTTGGTGAAGTAATCTACTGCCACGATTACCCATCTTACTCCTCCTACCCCTTTTGGATGAACAGGGCCGATGATTTCAGTTCCCCATTGATAAAACGACCAAGGACTTTGAATGGAGACCATCTCGTGTTGTGGTTGTCGAGTGATGGGAGAGAAGCGCTGACATCTATCGCACTTTTGTACAAACTGGTATGCATCTTTAAAGACTGTGGGCCAAAAGTACCCTGAACGCAGTACTTTCTTAGCAAGTGCTCTGGAAGTGTGCTCCACATGATCCCTCGTGTATTTCCTCGATGACGTAAGCTGCTTGTTTTAGTCCAATGCAACTTAGCATGGGTAGCAGGTATTCGTGTTTATATAACACACACTCTCACAGTGTATTTGGCTACTTTCAACTGCAGTGCTCGAGCATCGGATTTGCTATTGGCAATGTTCCATCTGGTAGATATTAAATGAACAGGGTCATCCATGTGTCTACATCCTTGTTAATGGTCATTATGGGGACCTTTTAGATGCTAGGCTCGGGGAGGATCTCGACCCACACCTTGTGACTAAGATGAGCAAAGTTCGAGGATGCCAATTTGCTCAATGCATCTGCTCTCTTGTTCCTCGATCATACCATGTGGGAAATAATACACTCCTCGGACTTATCTTTTAACTCGAGGACCCTCTCGAGGTATTATTTGAGCTGCTCATCATTTGCGGTATAATCTCCTAGGATTTGATTTACCACTACCTGAGAGTCGCTAAAAATTTGAAGCCTTCGAACCCCCAGCTTTAGAGACATATTTAATCATGCTACCAATGCTTCATATTCAACCACATTGTGAGTAACTGGAAAGCCAAATCTCAGAGCGTAGGTGTATTCCGCATCATATTCTTTCATGCTCTCGATCTCAGGATCGGCCGATGGCTTCGCCAGTATGATCCAGGAAAGATCGGCCGATGGCTTCGCCAGTATGCTCTCGATCTCGTCGCAATGAGAGCTATCGACGTATAGCATCCAGGCTTGAGGATTAACCTTAACGCGGGTAGTGTGGTGACTCTTAGGTGCTACAACTTATGGAATATCGGCGTTAAATCTGTGAAAGATTGACCTTTGATTGCCGTTCTCGGCTTGTACTCGATATGGTGTTACCCCAACGCAACTGCCCACTTCATCATTCTGCTGGAAGCTAGCGTTGAGCAGCCAACACTAAGCTCAAGATAAGTTTTTTCGTGGGCGTGTATCGTGTCTCTGCCCCTTGTAACACTTTACCGATGAAGTAAACATGGATCTCCTTGCCATCCTTGTTTTGGACTAGAACGGCTGATATGGCTTTTTCTCGAGCAGCAAGGTACACATGTAGGGTTTCCCCCGATTCGGGTTTAGCTAATATAGGTAGATGTTTAAGATGCTTCTTTAGCTCCTGGAAGGCTTTTTGGCTTTCCTCGTTCCATTCAACTTTCTACCTTTGCGGAGCGTGTGAAAGAATGAGAGACTTCTTTCCGCGGCTCAAGAGAGGAACCTATTTAAGGCAGCTAAGAATCCTGTGAGTTTTTGAACTTCTTTGACATTCTTCGGGGCTTCCATGGCCAGGATTGCCTTGATTTTTGCTGGACCAACACTGATTCCATCTTTGGAGACATGGTATCCTAGGAACTTACCCGATCCCATGCAAAAGGTACATTTTTTTGGGTTTAGTTTCATATTAATCTTGCAAGGAATTAAGAAGATCTCACCCATATCCTTGACTACTTGCTCATCGTTATTACTCTTGATCACCATGTCATCTACATATATCTCAATATTTCGACCAATCTGGCCATGGAATGCTCGGTTGACAAGGCGCTAATAGGTTGCACCGGCTTTTTTCAAGCCAAAAGGCATCTTGTCATAGCAGTATACCCCAATCTCAATAATATAGGCTGTCTTTTCTGCATCTTCTCATGCCATAAGGATTTGGTGGTATCCTTTATAGGCATTCAGGAAACTGAGGGTTCTATACCATGTGATACCCCCGACCATCTGATCTATGACTGGTAAGAGATAACAGTTATTCGGACAGTATTTATTGAGATCCATGTAATCTTGGCACATGCGCCAAGAGTTATCAGGTTTCCGCACTAGGACTGGATTGGCTAACCAAGTCGGCCAGAGAACTTCCTGGAGGATGTTAGCATGGACCAGTTTTAATGTTTCTTCATTGATGACATTGTTGTGATCTCGAGCAAATATTCTCTTCTTTTGTTGTACAGGTTTGACATTGGGATCAATGTTCAACTTATGCTCAACAACGTGTCTTGGTACTCCTGTCATATCTGTAGGTGACCAGGCAAATATATCGCGAAACTCACGTAGCAAGGTGATTACCTCGGCCAGCAATGTTCCTTACAGAGATGTCCCTATCTGGATGGCCTTAGAGGGATCTTTCTCATTAAGAACCAGCTCTTGGGTTTTGCTACTAAGTGGTGGTAGATTACCAGAGTCGTGATCTCCTGACGGTAGGTCTATCGTTGTCTGTTGGATTGAGTAGCATCCCAACATGGTAGAGCTTGCATTAGACTTCATGGTCTTCTTTCTAATTTTGACCGCTGTGAGCAAACATTCTCAAGAGCTGCATTGGCATCCTTGCACCACTCCAACTCCATATTCCGTTGGAATTTTCGTCACCAAGGGATAAGGAGACCGAATTGCTCGAGCTTGGCACATCCATGGTCGTGCTAGAATCACATTGAACGGCGAGGATGCATTTATTAAGGCCAAATCCATGGTTAGTGTAACAAATCTAGGATGCGACCCTACTGTGATGGGGAGTCCTACGATTCCTGTTGGGATAATGGTGTGACCTGAGAAGCCCATCAATGGTAATGTTGCAGGGCAGATATCGAGGTTTTGAATGTTCATCTTCTTGAAGTAATCATTATATATTATGTCGACTGCACTACCATTATCCACATAAACCCGACTCACATGCACACTTCCGATTATTGCCTCAATAACCATAGCGTCGCTGTGAGGACAAATATCTAGAACCACGTTACTATCAATGAAGACTATAGCATCTGTCCCTTTAAACCTCTTGTGGCTAGGTTCTTGGGGAGGAGTTTTGAGACGGTCCGTATCGAGTTCTTCATAGCTGTAGTAGATAAGACCTCGAAGGAGGCTCCATAAATAGCTCCCACCTGATGAGTGATTTGCTTGGTAGGATCCACCGAAGAAACATGCTGAAGCGGTTGTGGTGCTCCTTTAATAGCTTGTTGGGGAGGGTGCTATGTATTGTTCCTTGGTTGCCAAGTATTTCCTCAATTTTCTCCTCGCGGACCTCAGAAATTTCATCGCAGGATGTTTCGGGATCCGACAGCTTACTGTTTCCTTGTCAAAAAGATCCTTGAACGAATTGCTGAAATTTCCCAGATTTGACTCCATTCTTGATCTCTTGCTGAAATTTCGGTATCATGGCCGGGGTCTTTGTGGTACTCGCAGTATTGCTCCATCAACCTATTTGGATTAGGAGCCAAGGATTTTGGAGTTGGCAATTCATCCTTGTGGATCTGAAGAATTTCGCGACGGGGCTTGGTCAAAGGGGTCAACTGCCTATTGAGCTTAGGTAACGTTGTCCTATTTTCATGTTAATTTTGGGCTTGACCCTCATCCCGATTGCCGTAAAAGACTCTTGTGATCGCTTGAGTGTATGCTCCCATTGAATATGATTCTCAACAATAGCCCACATCTCTTTGGAATTCCAAGGAGGTTTGGTTGAGAGCGTTACCCTTAGCATCGAGGATTTTCCAAATGGATTAAGTCCTTGAATGAACCCGTTCTGAACATCTCGTTCGTCTATGTTGTCAATTTGTAGGGTTTCTCGGATGAAACGCCGGTGGAAATCTGAGAAACTCTCATGTTGACCCTGCTTGATCGAGGAGAGATCAATGGACATTCGAGTGATTTGCTTACTATGGAAGAAACGAGTGGCCAACTTGATGGATAAATCTTCAAAACTGATTATACATCCTTCCAGTAATTGTCCAAACCACCGCTGCGCTTGCTCGGTTAAATAGGAGGGCAGGGCTTTAGCCATGAAGTTTAATGATACATTCCTAATTCTCATGACATGGACATATCCCTGTAGCCATTGGGAGACATCAGTATCTCCAGAGTATTTGGTGAAATCTTTGGAAAAGTCAAAGTCCAGGGGCTTGGGCTCATCTCTAATGTCTGGTATAAAGGGGCTACGATCCATGACCATTCCAATCATCTTTCTCATCTCGTCTTGGATCGACACGTTCTCCCTCCTTACCACCTGATGATTTCAAGGAGGGTAAGGTAGCAATTCCTCGTGATGGTTATGTTGCCGCCTAGGTGGTGAATATTGAGGATAACGGTTATTCCCCGTCCATATTTTCCGGAAGCGTCTCGAGCCTGTCTATGGAAAGGTTTGTAATCCTCTCTTCGAGGACTTCCTAAATGCCTATTAGGTCCCAATCGATCGTGGATATTGGTCTTTCCTGGGGGATTCCATCTCTTTCTTCCACGAATTCAATGCTTGGGGATCTTCCTTGGTAATGATCTCGAGGACCCTTGCGTTTGTATATTGCATCAAACTCTTCAAGGGCTATATCAAAGGTTGGGTACTTCTTCCTGAAAGCGTTCCAGTGAACAGTGTCTCGTGTGATAGTTAAATGATCTTCCAGGAAGCCTTCTCGATCAGAGAACTCTTGATAGTCCTCCTCTTCCTGGACTTTTCGCTTACCTCGTCTTTCCTCGAGAAGGTCTAAGGTGAGATGGGACTCCTCGTCAATTGGGTCAGCCAACTCTTAATCAGTTGGATCGGGTTATCCAAGGAGACAGCAGAGCTTTGTTCTTCTAGGACATACTTTTTCATCCTTTGATTTTGATCGCTTTTGTCGCGCAGTTTCTTGAGTTATGCCTTGATCTTGGCCAACTTTTGATCGTCCAAGTGCTTCCTAGCTGATGTGGTGTTTTGAGGCAGACGCAAATCCTCTTTTTCTCGTTGTTGGATTAGTATTGTCTGGTTTCTTTGGATTGGGCTGGGAGTAACCAAGGACAAAATGCTCCTTCTCTAATTCTTTTTCGCGCCCTTTTTCATGGCTTCTTCCCGCCTTCCTCCTCTCATTCTTTTCTGGAACACCGCCAGGGTAGTGTCATCGGCTAGACTGCGCCGCCTACCTGAAGACCGCCTTCCTCCTCTTCTGTCTTTGCTATTCTCATCATCCTCAACCCTGGCCATTGTGTAGATGGTCCCAGAAATCCTAAATCGTACCGAAAAAAATTTAGGGAAACATGAGAAGGTTTTCGTGATAAAAACTGTAGTTTTCGGGTCCCACCGACGTGCCACTTGACGAAGTATAGAATTGTTCACCGTTTGGATGCGGAACTCCGGCTAGGGTTTCCTGCAAAAAAGAGCCTCAGGGGTCTCCCGATGGTAGACACTCCGATGCTTAAGTCAGGAATGGAGTTATAGAGAAATGCATGCGTGGTAATTGGAGCTAGAGATAGCGTACTCGTATTGTGGTATGATCAACCCTATTTATAGGCATGAAATCACCCTGAAAAGTAGAACAATGTAGTATTTCTCTCCCAAGAAAACGTAAAAGGGGTAATATTCTCGTAAATTGAACACACAAATTTAACAACCATATCAGGAAAGTTGACAGCTCCAGAAAAACTCATTTGCACCAATATTTTGTGAAGGTGATAATTAACTTCGATAAGAGGTCCAAACAAAATAATGAAATCATGCGAATTCGAACATATATCTCTCAGAAACTTGCAACTCAAAAGGTTTGAAATTCCCTCATCTGGAACTCCTCTTTCAAAAAGCTTTCCAACACTTTACCACCATGGAAAACTATACCTCCTTTGAATGCATTTATCATTTCAAGCCATGACTTACACTTGTTCTTAGTTTCCTAAGGTGTTTGTTCCATGAGCAATGACGAAGTACATAATGCACAAAATTCAGCATCCAACAAACAAAGACACACTCCTCCATCACAAGAAGTAACTGTATAAACTGAATTTTCAAAGTGACCTAGGAAATTTATGTTCCTTTTATGCTTCGCATGATTATCAGTGAACAAAACCCCTTCAAATCTATCACATGCCTTATTTCATAGGACCCGTCAGATGTAGAGCATTTCATAGGACACATCAGATGTAGTCAATAGAATTTCACAACAAGCATACAACTTCACAACCTTGTTATGCAGATTTTTCAAAGAAACCTCACCGTCATCGGCACATTTCAATTTATCAACACCAATGTCTTCATGAACTAGATTCACAAAATTCTTAACAAAATGATTTTTCATTCCTCCTGGTTCAATAGCAAATAAACTCATAAGGTTTCTCCCATTTATTGAACACTTTCGGACTATAATGCCTTCACATTTACGATCAACAACTGCTGGCGCAAGCTTTTTATTCTTCAATCCCAAAGTCACCGAATCAAATTCTACATTCAAACTCATATCAACAGCTACAACCATCAAGTTTAAAGAATTTTCATCCAATTTTTCAAGCATAGCATTAACAGTATCACAAGGATTCCAAAGTTTATTGGTAACCAGAAAAGCATCAACACTTACCACTTTCGAAAACTAAGAATCAACAATCCAATCCTCTTCACATGGAGTTTCATCATTCAAAACCAAGAAAACAGTATCATCCATGAACAGAACATAACCTTCTAAAGCCATAGGGTCATTTAGGTTCACGTTCGAGACCTCTTAATCACAAGAGTGAACAATTGCACTCATCAAAGTAGCACTAGCCCTATTCAAACTTTCAGAACTATGAACCAAAGATTCTAAAGGAGCATTGTTGTCATCATAACCAGTAAACAGAAACTCATCAATCATAAAATCATCATGAACAACCAAAGATTTATCATCATTAATCTCAATTGAAACTATATAATCATCCTCAAGCTTTGCACAAGCAAGCTCATCGTCAAAACAAGCCACTTCACCCAAATTAAGAGAAATTAACAGTGTTACCTCTTTCCACCCAGTTCCCTAAGACAACCAAATCAATTGCACAAGTTTCATTCATTTTAGGAACTTCAGTCGAGCCAAATTCCTTGACCAAGCACTCTGAAAAGCTCTCCCATGAGTTCCACATTCCTTAATCATTCTTGCAAGCCTTAAACCATGTCAGTGGATGATCCTGTCGTTCCAATCTGTGATCCCAAATTGATCAAAAAATCTATTCCAAATTTGAAGAAATTGGTGAGAGTTTTCTCTATAAAAGTCTAGTTAATCACTAGCAGGGATGAATGAGTCATCTACTTTCATTGCCAAATCTACACTTGTTCTTCGAATGAAATTATCCCCTAAGCCTGATTTCAGAGCTCTCTTTTCTTCTTCATGTCCTTCAAATCTGAGTGATGAATCATTGTTGTGTGTGGATAGAGAATATTAACCAATTGAGCACTTAGTGAAAAATTGCCATGTTTGTGAGTCCCAAAACTCATCGATGACTCATTTATCATCGGAAGTTGCCGGTGTATTTGTGTTCGAACCAAATAAGAAAGAAGAGCTTCTACTCGATCCAACTGGCTCTTATACGGTACACCCTCTATCGCCGCCTTCAGCTTTGATTCCAACGCGTTCTGGAATTCCGAAACTTTCCCTTCGACATGGTCATTAAATCCTGCAGTGACTTCAGAAACTCTCGCCTCCTGCTCGCGAAGATGTTCTTCCAGATTCCTCAGAGATTCTGGAATTTTCGCCTCCAGAGGATTCGACTCTACTTCAGGCGGAGAATTGCTCCGATGGTAAACTTACTCCAACCAAGGGCTGCTTTAAATTGACAATTTCTGGCCAAGAACTGCTTGGCTATGATTCAGGCCGAGGATTGCTCGGCTCTGATACCACTTTGTCAGATCCAGGAAAGATCGACATAGACAAAAGAGTAAAATCATACACACAAACGTAAGGAAAATAACAAAAACAAAAACAATTTCTTTGCTCATCCGTATTGATGGAGACAACCCTTTTTTATCCCGCCTGATGTTATTCTTACTATTACATAATTGTTTTCCGAGTCTTTATATTTTTTAGAAAGACAAAACAACCCTTGAGTATGTGACACGTTACAACTTTATAATACTAGTGGTATATTTAGAGAGGGGGAGCTATTAGGCTCCGGGGTCATAAAATAAGAGTAATAATAGTAACTAGATGTTAAACCCGCACGATGTGCGGGGTATGTTATAATTTTTCTATAATTTTTTTTATAAAAATATAAATACATACGTATCATATGTGTAAGTATGGTAAAATATTAAATATTAAAATTTTGAATAAAGAAAATGTGGTACATGGAAAATAACATATATATATGTATATGTATTCTTGGAAAATGAAAATAAAATAAGCTCCGTAATACATGATTTCATTTGCAAATGTATTACTATTTTTTTTATTAAGAAAAGAAAAGAATCATTTTTTATTCAAAGAAGAATTATCATGGTGTAATGGCTGGTCAAATTTACCTCAAAATCATGCAACTCTTAACTTTCAGGAATAATTAATTGAAAATAAAATACTGGTTATTAATAATGATTGAATGGTTAGAAATACTCAAATATGAAATTTTCAAACAATTAATAAGGAGATAAGAAGTCAAGACACAGTTGAAATCAAACCGATTAACGGATGAGTTTATCCATTAGATCCGGAGGAAAATTCTATTAAAGTATGAAGAATTATTCAACAATTACACAAAATTTTCTATTAGGCAAGAAAAAACTATTTGGCATTCCCAGCTTGAATTTAGTTTAAGTTGCTCCTTGATTGACATAATCATGTTGTATCGCTGCATTACAGACTTTACGATTTGTGTCCACTAATAATGATTGAAAAAAAAAAGGTTTTATCGCTTGTATTTCAGGTTAGACAATTTGTCTTTTATCAAAATATTTTCCTTTGTGTTCCTTTAACCGTGATAATTACCTGTTAGTAATAAACTGCATTTGAAACATTAAAAAACCAAATTAGTTATTAGGGGTTGAGTAGGATATGAGAAAAACTGAATTAAAAAATTTTCTTTGCGAAACACCTTTTAGAACTTTTTTGATAAACAATACCACTGCTAATAGTCCCTATCTCGTCTGCGCTTCTCTTTTCTTTTCCACTACAAATCATAAATCCAGTAATAAAAACCCATGATCAAATTATAAATTGATGATTCATATTTAATCCAATAAAGTATAATCACGTAACACAATTGCATCACGGAATTTGGAACAAACATACATAAATATACCAAAATCAAATAGTTATCGAAGTCTAAAAAGAATTGACATTCTCCATTTCTAATATGCGTTTACTAACCTTGATGAAATTGGGCAGAAACGATGGTTTTGCTGGAAAAGAATCACTTAGTTAATGCGACGGAAGAGAGGAGGTAGGTACAATACTTGTTAACAATTTATATAATCCAGTCAAATTAAAAGCGATTAATGCTCAAAACAAATTTTTGGTGAATTAAATTAATTCAGCGGTAATTTTGGAATTTATTTTGGGAATTATTTTTTTGAATTGTATTTGATTTGACGGGGGGGAAATTTCAGTACATTAATGTTGATTAATCCCGTGTATTAAATTTGATTAGTTCTTATCCGTAGTCAATTCCCAACTTTTTATTTTACACCTAGGTTTTGATAAACTTTTAATTATAGGAAACTTGAAGGACTATTAGTATAATTGTTGTAAATATTTTTTGACTCAACCATTAGAAAAATGACACATAGGATTTTATCCTATGTGGTACCTTTAGAATTCTTTTTTGTTTTCTCTCTCTGGTTTCTCTCTTAGTATAATACTTTATATATGGTGATAAAGAGGCATAAAATAACACAATAATAAAAGAAAGTGAAACTGCCTCAAAGGAAACGGCAAGACCTTTTGGAATTGGGATTCTAGATTCTAGCAGTTTCTAATTCTTTTATATATCCAATTTCTCAAGCTCAAATACGGTTCTCAAGCTTTGTGTTTTCCTTTTGCCCTTGTTCTCAGGCCAATCCCAATGATGAACAACAACAGACGGACAATCAACAACCTCTCTCTGCTTCAACCGCCGCCGCCTTCACCGAAGATAAGAGTCTCTTGACCCGAATTCTCCTTAAAGTACCAGCGACACCCCTAATTCGTGTCAAGTGTGTTTCCAAGAGATGGCTCTCCCTGATTTCCAATCCGGCCTTCTGTCGCCGCTATTGGAGAAGTGTCTGGCAAAACCTGACCCAGGATCTCATCTTCTTTAGCCCAGATAGCGAGAACAACGAAGTTCATTTCATATCTCTCAGTTCCAAGGGAGTGACTTCTATTGGCACTCTGACTAAGTAATTGAAGAAGGGATTTCCAAAGGATGAGATTTTGAGAGCCTATTCTTGCAATGGGTTATGGTGTCTTCAACTGAAGGATAAATACAATCGTGTCTCGTTTGTTGTTTGCAACGCGACCACTTGTCACTGTTAGTAAGTAAACTGTCATAGGCTGGGGTTGAAATGAAATTTATGTTAGTTAAGGGGTCTGTTTGGAACTGTGGGATATTAAATGCAATACGGATCATTTTAGCTGTTTTTCTGTTTTCTGTTTTTGTAATTGCCGGCCAACTGGTTTTTTCTGGATCTTGCCAAAGACGGTTGAGGACATGCTTTGGGCATTTTCTGAGTAGCATATAAAGGAATGTAATCTAGTAGGAGAAATTTTTGTCAAAGAAATATATCAATTTCAGTTTTTCTTCTTTACTTCCCACTTTGGGGATTTCTTATTCTACTGGGCTCGTTCGCAATTCCGGTCATTGCCGCCGGGATCTGACACGTTGGTATCAGAGCCGGGGAATTCCTCGGCTCGAACCGCGATGGCCGAAGGTACTAGATCCATGAAGCAATTGGAAGAACAGATCAAGAAGTAGGAAGCTCATTTAGCTGAAGTCACGGCTGGGTTCAACGATCATGTCAATGGAAGGTTTTCGGAGTTTCAGATGCAAATTGAGGCAAAATTGAAACGGCGATGGAAGGTATGGCTTTGAAATCTCAGTTGGATCGAATGGAAGCTATGATTACATCTCTGGCTCAATCTCAGATTCCTGCCGGTCCGCTTCCACCGGTGAGAGCCAAAGCGCCGATTAGATTTCAGGATATGCCGGCAGAGAGGTCACCGGTGATGTTGAGTCCCGGAAATGCTTCGAGAATTCACACTGATGGGGAATTTACAGCAGCCGCAAGGGATCGAGGCTTTGGTCCTCAGTGGTTCCCTCAACCTAGGCTGGAGTTACCAATGTACGAAGGCGAGGGAAACCCTAGAACGTGGATCCGCAAGTGTGAGAAATTTTTCTTGTTACATCAAGTGGCGGAACATTGGAAGGTGGAACACATTGAATTGTATTTGGAAGGGAAAGCTGAAATTTGGTTTCAGGCTACCAAAATGCTGAAACCGCAGTTATCTTGGGTTGAATTCAAGAATGGACTGATTAGACGGTTTGCTGAGAAGGGAATGGAAGATGATGTGGAAGAATTTAATAAATTGATTCAGCAGGGTAGTGTGAAGGATTACCAGGAGAGATTTGAAGACTTGAGGAACCGGATGTTGTGCAAGGATTCTCACTTGACCGAGAGTTATTTTATTTCCAGTTTTATCAATGGACTGAAGGAAGAGATCAAGCCTATGGTTCGGATGTTGCCTCATCAAGACCTGAATGAAGTTTTTGATATTGCACTACTTCAAGAGCACAATCTGTCTGTTAACGGTAAAGCTGGAAGGATCAACAATCCGACAACTGCAAAGACTTATCTTCCCTCTGTTAAGGTACTTGAAAATCCTAAACCTCCTGTTAAGAAAGAAATCATGCCTGATCAATATAAGAGTTTAACTCATAAAGAGTATCAATATAGAAGGAACCATGGTCTGTGCTATAAATGTGGTGAGAAATTTGGTCCTGGTCATAAATGCAAGTTTAGGAACTTTAATGTGTTGATTGTGGATGAAGATTGTGATGAAAATTCTCTGCAAATTCCTGAACTGAATGTTGATAATGGCCTAGACATTAACGATTTGACATTGGAGGAACGATCATTGCATGTTCTGTCTGTTACACCAGTGAAGCAAACTATTCTT